TGAAGGACCTCAAGGACCCAGGCCCCACATTAGGAAATCCAACCCCTGTGCCTTGAAGCTGCAGGAAGCTTTCTTATCTAACCCCCATGTCAAAACCCCACTAGTTGCACCTAGCATTTTAAGTCTTGCACAATGGCAACCACAAGATGTTCCATATAGATAACCCCGGGAGGGCCAAACTTGAGCAAACAGGGAGAAAACAGGAACCAAAAAGAGCAGGGTGCAATTTTATGGTTTTTCTGAGAACAAAAAGTTAAAAAAAAAACAAGTTTACCCCCCAGGTGACCCCGCTGCTGGATTCAGGGAAACCAATAGAAAGGCTGCTGCTGTGCTAAGCTGAAAACTAACCCCCTGCTCCATATAAAAGATCTGTGCCCCAGAGCCCGGTGTGCCAGTTCACCGAAGCTCCGGCTGAGGTGTTGCTGAGCACCCGCAGGCGCCTGTGTATCAATAAACTTGCCTCTTGCTCTTGCAGCCAGTGTCTCGTGTGGTTCGTTCCGGGTTTGGGATCTGTGGATCTTTCATTTTGGAGGTTCCACCGAGATCCAAGATCCCGGTTCCGATCCCGATCCCTATCCGGAGGACACCCAACATCACTGGGAGGTAAGCTGGCCGGCTCGAGCTGTCTATGTCTAACCTGTTGTCCTGTTGGTTATCTGTTTTCTGTTTTGCGCGGCGTCTGAAAGACTATGCATAGTCACTTAGTATTCTGATTCTGAAGCAGTTCCGTGATCACTCAGGTTTCTGAGGCAGACGGGGAAGGAATTGACGAACTCGGACTTCACCCCTGCCACCCTGGGAGACGTCCCAGGGATCAGAGGGGTCCATTTCTTTGGGGCCCCCGGTGTTTCCGAGGGATACACCGTTTTTGTAGGTGACGGAGAAGCAGTTTCTCCCAGGCCATCTGATTCTTTCGGTTTGTGCCGAAGCCGCGCAGCGTTCTTTGTGTTTTATGTCCTGTCTGATTCATATCTGTACTTTAGAGATGAGAACCAAATTTTCAGTCACAAATTTTGACACTCTCAAAGGGACTTTTAAGGAGTCCCCACTCTGCTTTCTTGGGGAAGCCTAGCACTCGAAACAACTGCAAGCAGAGGATAAACTTTTTGGGAGCTGGCTACTAAAAAGTTAGAAAAACAAAAATGCCTAATGCCTAAGGTCAAACCAAACTGGAGGAACTAATCCTATGGATAAAAGATAAGATTAGAGCCATTTAGCTCTGGGGAGTTCCCTGGGTCCTTATCTACATCTTAAGGATTACACCACCTCTATTTACTTAAAAAGAAGGAACACTGAATGCAGTAAAGCCAGTCACACTGAGACCCTTGATTTTACACCTATAGTTCTAAAGCATTGCACTATCTTGCAGTTAAAAGTTGGGTTTAAGCAATTGTTTAATTTGATTTCAGATAGTTCATGCTAGAAAACTTAAATACTTGGAATAAAAAAAAATTAAAGAGTTTCAATTTTGAACTGGGTAACCTGAAAAAAAAAATTAAAAAATTAAAACGTTGGTCTGGCTCATAAAAATTACATTAGATAATTAAATAGCAATAGTCTTAAAAATTTTCAAAGCTTAATTTCAGATATATATGGTAATATGTAAGTAAATTTAATGTAACTCAATGCTACTTTAGAAACTTCAGAACAAGCAAAGTGGCTTAAAGGTACTAAAAAAATTTCTTCTGATGGTAGAGATTCTATTTCCAGTTTTATGTGAACAAGTTTTTCTAATGTAAAAAGATATAAAATTTTAAATTTTAAAAATTACTTCTTAAATTTGTATCATAATTTCCAACATCTAAACCTGAAAATATAACTTAATGTAAACAAAAAAAAAAGTTTATATAATTATGGTGTTATTAATGTGTTCATATCTTCCAGGTATACAAGCCTGTAAGGTAAAAGCTTCGAAAGAACATGATATCAAGCTGGTATTCTAAAGTTATATGATAATTTAAAAAAAAATGTAAAGGTTTTATTGCAAAACACAAAAGTACATCACTACTTTTCTATAAGAGGTTAAAAGCTTTCAGCCTTTAATTCATGTTTTAGGTGTGATATTATATTGTGTTAGCTAATGTTCATGTAAACTTGAACAACAATTTATGTAAACTTTATAAAATGATCAGCTTCAGAACTATAGTAATTGAGATTTATAAAGAGCCCTGCCTTACTTGAGATAAGGCTCTATCCCATCTCACTACATGTGAAAATGGCTATAAAAAAGTAAGCCAGATTTCAGTACAGTTAAAGTTGTGTCCAAAAATAGGTTTGTGCCAAGATTACTAGGATCTCAAACAGAAAATTATGATGTATAACCCTACTAGAATTCAAGGTAGCTATTATATAAGCTAAATATGTTTTTACCCTAGTTAGTTTTGTTTTGTAGTTTACTTATAGATGGTTTAAAAATTGCCTATTAATATTTTAAAGAGGTATTACTTTAAGAACACAACCTGGGCCAACATAAGATAAGGAGTTATCACCTACAGTATAAAAAAATAAACATTAAAGCCCAGTGCTCTTAATATAAGGCTGTTAACTTATTTGCTGGATGTTTAAGATCAAGTTTTAAAATTAGTTAAATTAAAAAGGCCAAGAAAACCAATATTCGGCTCTTGCCCTCTGAGTCAGTCTAAATCAGGGAATAGGGAACTTCTCCAAAGGGCTCAGCAACTCTAGGCCACATAACCTCCTGAGCAAGGAGATTAATGAGACCAGTGGAGGACAGGAAGCCAATCGGTGCATTTGCTGTAAAGAGGAGGATCATTAAAAAAGGGAGACATCCCTGATGCTTCTGAGGGAAGCCATATGGTCAAGCAAGGCCTGGACCCATCCTAGCGCAAATGGCACTAGCAGAACTGAAAAGCTGCTATGAAGTTCCCGAGGACTCCCAGGATAACTCAGCTGACTGTAAACAATAGGTAAAAATAAAAGTCAGTTTGACTTGCTTCATCTTAAACACTTAGCAAAGACAGTAAAAGCCAAAGCACAGCTGTTCCTGGACATCTTAAATAATAATAATAATTAAATGTAACTTCCATAAATAAGTAGACTGGAGGCTACAAGAGAGATTCTTAGACAGAAATGCCTGATAACTGTCAAAGGGACTACTAAAATAATTTTAGTCTAAGGCTTTTATTTCTAGCCAACGCAGGTAGACTTGATGTTTGCTAATATGGTTATCCAGCCCTAAGTAGCAGAATTAAAAATTTCTCTATTAGACACAGAGAAGAAACAAAAGGTTCTCTTGGAAGCTCGCAAAAATGTGCCAGGGGACGACGGGCGCCCCACCCAACTCGCAAATTTGATTAACGAAGCTTTTCCTTTAACCCGGCCAAACTGGGACTATGCGACTGAAGCAGGTAGGAACCACCTACGTCTCTATTGCCAGTTACTCATAGCGGGTCTCCATGGAGCAGGGCGACGGCCCACTAATTTGGCTCAGGTAAGACAGACTATCCAGGGGTCAGAGGAAACTCTGACAGCCTTCTTAGAGAGATTAAAAGAGGCTTATCGGGGGTTTACTCCCTTTGATCCTGATAATGAGGACCAAAAAAAAAAAAAAAAAAAAA